ATTTAGTCAGCACGCTAAATTAAAATGTGCCATCTAAGTACACTAAGTCAATAAATTAATCGTCAGGAGAGGTGAATATTGTCTATGGAAAAATGTCTATAGCAAAATTAAATTTAAATGAGGAAATCGCTTATTGTCTACGGATAGCAAATAAGGTAGATATCCAAGACGAAAGTTTTCAGAAATGTCTAACCTGAAAAGAACAGCAAGTGAAGAGCCTATAGTAGTGGACTACTTTAGTAAGAGATTTAATGACTTTGCTTATGAACATTTAGATTAACGGGGTCGAATAAAGCGTCTAGGTCATTTAATGTAACTATAGTCAGGGATTGGTATGTTTTCAAACCTGTTAGTGCAAAAATTTGGTTTATACAACCACAGTCAGGTCTAAAACCTACCTATTATTTACTGTCTGTATTCAGACATAAGACTTATGAGAAAGTACGTTGGAAACATTACTGATCAAACTGATTTATCTCTCGTATCAAAAAGGGTTTTTGTCCTTTGCTATAAATTTGGAAGACCAAGGATCAAGAAACGTCATCCAGAGTTACATCTTGTTCACACTGATAATACTGGCTCACCATCCTGTGAAGATGTCTGGAGTTATCCTATAACAACGGTGTCATCCTTTGTACCATTACTCATTATTATTAGGAGCTGCTAACAAAACCTTAGCATTAAATTTCCACGGAGACCGATAAAATGAAAGTCAGTGTGGAAACAATATCACTACTAGTGAAATTAAAATAATTGCAACTGTACTTTAAGAGAATAAATAGTGTGGGGAAAACGGCTAACAAGAAACACCAACGCTACAAATTCAGAGGGAGATAAAAAGAAAAGATATATTTTCTCCATAGCCACTAGCTTATTTCACGTTATCCAAACCCAGTCAATCTCCAGAAGATTTATTTCATTCAACATTAGCAAATACGTTTACATAAAAACAAGCCAGAGACAACTGACTAGATTATTAACCTTCATCACAACTAACAAGAGAACCATATCTGATAAGACATAAGTGGTGAGCTGATAGTGATTTATTACAAGACAACTACATCACTACTGTTTCTTGTTATTTGACAGCCATTTCAAATTTACAATTACAGCTCATGACTTAAAGTCCACTCATTTACACTTCAGTCGAATTGCATTAAATGGTGTTGCGTTCGTTAAGTAGTCAAGACTGAACAGAGTACATTAATTTACTAAAATACAAACGAGAAAAGCTTATGAGAATAGTGGTGAAGCTTTACATTATTTGGAACCTTACTTTTTTAACCAAACCCAATTTCAACTGTCTAAGATCATTATAGACATACCTACGTTACCTAGGCAAACAGAAAACGGAGAAACAAAGGCAAGTCTTAAGGCAATCTTGAGGAACGTCCTTAAGGGAAGTCGACGTAAATTGTCAAAGTTTCGCCTAAAATTTCCCCCACTTAGGTAGGTTGACCATTTATGTGACCAACAGTAGGTCACATAAAATTCTGCATATAAAACGATCCATGCTTGACAATTTGGAAAATACTAGACCAATTTCGTGAGTATCATGAAGGTCGTTAGACATATAAGCACATATGTAAGTGCATGAAAATGGAAAGTTTGAGGTACTTACTACCATAAAGACTCCGGTCCTCTCAGCTTCTTGAATCACGCGTCACAGTTTCAAATCACGCTCCAAAGTGTCCAATGCGGTCAGGCAGTTGTTAACGAATTCGTAAACAAAATCAAATATTCGGAACATGTAGTCATCGAGTCGTTAAAAGGCTAGGAAAACATTTTTAGACCGAAAAGCAAACTTAAAAGTTTATAGAGTATGAAGGGAGTAATGATAGACATTTTAGGAATGTCGTACTCAGCCATGAGGATTTGGTTATACGCTTTAACTAAGTCGATTTTTGAAAGGACGATCGTACCTTTCAAGGTAGCTGCAGGATCGTGAATACGCGGTAACGAGTAGTGGTCCGTAATGGTTCGTGTACTAAGTCTTCGATAATCGTCAGTTGAACGCCAATCACTGGTATTCTTTTTATGAAACACATACAACGGAGATGTCTGTGGACTATTTGATGACCGGAATATTCCTAAATTTATCTGGAATCGAATCCGCTCCCAGTCAATTTCGGCTTTTAAGGAGCTAGACAGAGAGCTCTCGAGAATATAGATGGTCCTGTAGTCGTGATGTTATGTGTAACATCGAAAGTCACACTCGGTAAATTCGGTTGTGGCTTACGCAGTTTGAAATACTTATTGAGTGTTAAGAGGCTAATCTTTTGCATGATGGGCTACTTTGTGGAGTTTTAGATCGTCTGCAGTCATGCTCGAGGTAAAGTAAATGACAGAGTAGCAGAGTAAGTGTAATTTCGTCTTAGGTCAACTGAAACTTTTATTTGACGGAGCAAACCTCAATGGTGAGGGATCTAGTTATATTCAAAATCCGGTTAGCAGATGCACCTGGTTCATCTACAGCGTATTTTTGAATGGAACCTCGTGCCCTGTTGGGTAAGCTTAGATAGAAGAGGTGTCCAATGAAGCCGTCGCCGAAAGTTAAATAATTGGTCACTTCTCACTTACGTATTAACATTTATGTTGCCGAGCTGTGTCCAAGTCCAGTATTGTGGAAGCGTTGATCTAACCTTTGTTGATCGATTAAGCTGTGGTGAAGTTCAGAAACACTATTAGTAAACCTGAAAGTTGCGACGTGCCTGTTGAACTTGTGCGGTAGAGCCTCCACCATTGCAAGGAACTTCATATATGGGTCGGTCACGCCGTGCTCGTGGAATTCAGTCTCAGCACAGCAGAACCAGGCCTCGGTATTTCCAGGCCAGAGTAGCACAAGTTGCGGAGTGAAGGGGTAAGAGTCATAATCTTTCACAGTTAGGGTGTGAGTCCCGAAATGATAAGAATAAAATAAACGTATATATGTAAAATTTTATCACCAAGAACAGACCCACAATGTATAGCTTGGTGTATCAGATAAAGTCATGACTCATCACTAAAAATGTCACCAATATAGAGGACTTGATGATGCTCTCATCCGAAACACCTTTTTATGGAGGACGCCAAACCCAGTTGGACTAGTGGTCAGGACTGAAGGGAGTCGACGGTATATTTGACAGATGGTCGGTGTGTTCAGATGTATGTTATCCAAGCAAAATGACTTGTAAGGAACGAATAGGATGGAGTAACAAAACGTGATCTGATACGGATGTTGAACGAATGTGTATAAGAAGTGTGGTCAGTAAAATTAATGAGGTCAGCAACACTATCAAAGACTGACAAAATCATTTATTTTGGGGATTTATTTGCTGCTACAAATCTTCACTGTCAAAAATAGTGCATCATTTGAATTTTGTTATTTCTCGAATGTGGTTTCCCAAATGTGTTCTCAAGTGACCTGGTATTAATTGTGCTTGTACAAAGTTTCGGTCGTTGCTCATTCACTGAGATCATTATCTTAACACAGGCCGATTTGTTTGTAGACTGTGAAGTGTTTTGTGATGGCCATACAGACTATCCGACCTAGAGGAATAAAAGTGTAGGACATGTCAGGACCAAAGGAGCTTCTCGATTTAAGATGTGCCAATATGTGGTTGCCTCTTTTTATAATAAGATGGGAGATATATATCTGAGCATTTAAGTCGCAGGACATGTAGAATGTTGTGACGTCCTGTTGACAACATAACACCTGCCCCTTAGATATATTTATACACGTTTAATTACGTATGATCCAGCTTGGATACAGTATTCTGGATGCAAGATCCATTAGCGTTCGCATGTTTGTATGAACTTATATGTGTGAAAACCCCTCCACGTATACATTCCCTGTGGAAGTATCCGTCCGTTCCCTTCAAATGTAATGCAACTTCTAATAAACCTAGTACTCACGCATATTATACTCGTCATTTCGTTTGTATTTACTATACTATACTGTCTACAAGCGCTAAATTGTTATGAAATCCGTGATGTCTTTTATGACTTTGTTTTGACTAACGTTATATTTGAGCTGCTGTTATATCGGGTGAGTATTCCTGATTGATCTTACTTGATTCACATGAGTGGATCTACACCTGAACGGTAAAAACTTTATTTCCTGTCCGTTAGGAACTTTTGATGTTATGAACAAGGAGATAAATATATAATCGTTGCATCCTTCTGTTTAGCTGATCTCTTGTGGAACCCTGTTAACAGTCATATCTTTTAGGCAGAACATTGGCCCCCGATCCCAAGGAATACTATTTGTTTGGAAATTGATTTTACAAGGTGCCGTTGTTTCTCGTCAATACACGTTAGAAGGATTATTGTCCAGGGATTTATTTTGGTGCATATATTTACTAGTACCATATCTACACTGTTTATACATTTCAGTCCCGTGGAACCCTATGACCTGTTTGAATGGAGGTGCGTAACTAAACGATGTCGTAGGTACAGGTCCACTAGAATTCTTAAGAACTTATATTTAACACTTGAGGGATTCGAAAGATATGATAAGAGAAACCAGTCATTTTGCGATATTATGCCAACTCGGGAAAAAAGCCTACCTTTCAAGTATATTCCTAGTGTTTCGTGTATGAAAAAATCTATGCAGGCGAGAGATGGATGTGTTAGAATAGTAGTGCAAGTAAATTATCCATCTGACCATGATCATACCTACATACCGCTGGTTGGGTAAGTGACACCATGCACAATCAATAAGCTAACGCTTCGATTCATGTTCAATACAACTCTCTACTCATTTTTAGTCTTCTATACCTGAGAAATCGACCGAGTCAGACGCTGAAACGCTGACTAGATTTAACTAAACCATAACAGATACTCCATAAAGCAGTAATTTATCACTTCAACAGCTTGGTTATACTACCTTAAAGATAAAAAGGGTTTAGACGGAGTATATCATAGAAGACTTTGGGCACGCCAATCAGAAATATAGCCCCATTGCTAACTGATTCCGACCGCTTAACATTGAAACAACCATAAGGGAAAAACTATGCATAGAAATAACGTGATTGAAAAAAGAACCAAGAGTAGTAGTCCCGGTTAACTGTAATTAGTACGAAACATTTTGTATAACCAAAAGAAATATCCAATACTTATAATGAAATCAAATCACAAAATACAAAAAAAATACATAGAATTCATGATTTAGAAAATGAAACATGTAATCAAAAACGAAACATAATTGAATACTTATCGTTAAAATAAGATATAAATTAAACTGCTATAACTCCATGAGGAAGTTCAGCTGTTGGTGTACGAAAATACTTAACTGAATTTATAAAGAACATATGAATCAGGCGTAATGAATCATGTAGGACACATAGAAACAAAGTAAAAAAGTTTAATTGAAAATCATTTATGATAAAATATGAGAAATGAAACAAAATTATGAAGTTCATATTTATAATCAAGTAATAACTGGCTCCAATGATGTACGGCTTACAGTTCCATCATCAATTTTACTGACAAGATTTTTCGATCGTCTATTTACACCAGATTCATTTAGTAATCCTGTACCAAAACGATGATCCCATATAAGTAGACCAAATGTAGCAGTGATAGCGATACTTAGACAGAAGACGAAAAACACTTCAAGGAACAAATAACCCTGTAATATGTGATAGAGGAAAAAACACAAGTGTAACTAGGCATTTCTACACTAAGAGCATAGACAATAATATTTATTCATTGTTACCACAACGAACTCTTTCATTTGACTAACAAACATGACTTGATAGTTTTTCGCAATCTTATCATGCTAGCTATAGCAAAGATGGGTAGTGGCTAGCACTGGAATCCAGGACGCGCGTTTCGCCCTATTTCGAGACTCATCAGCTGGATGTACTTGCATCTCAGAGTTGATGTTCACTCTGGGACTCGAACTCAGTACCGTTCGCTCCAAACGCCATCGCGTTATCCACTTAGCTACTGATTCTTGATAGCCACTTGCTAGCTATAGTTTTCTCCCTCTAGTACACTGTATTGGATATTTTATTATTAGAATTTAGATACAAGTGTGTCCTTTTTTTAATATTCGCCATAAAATTACAGTTAAGTACACATTGCCTGCATAATGAACACGTGAATTGTGCTATGAACTTTACTAGTTATGGTCACAACTATACAAGTGATCAATCGAAATTTATATAAGACACATACTGCTTAACTAAGCTTGCTGATCTGTTTTCATTTACCTTATAATTTGTAATTTTCGCAATGTGATCCAAAAAATGCGTGAAGTGAAGTTGTAGAAACTTTAATTCACATCAATCACCAGGTGAAATAAGCTTGCCTATGGAAGTTGTTTTTGTTCCCAAAATATAAAATTGTCATATGAATATATAACACACAGTGTTGATGTGGAGACGATAAAATTTTAGATAATGATCAAGACTATGATTTTAAGTTCCCAAAATTTCTAGAAAGTATTTCGAATATCGAGAACAGAAACCGTAAAATGAAGAGTATTTTTAAAACCCATAAAGATTGATGTATTCTAGATTTTGTAAAATTACGTTTTTTTTTCAAAAATCACAGTTAGGGTTAGGTTATTGATATTGCCAAGAGACTATACGAAGACGCCAAATGCCCTGGTACGGCTGACAGTGAGGAGAGTCAGCTCTCCCTCTTCAAATGCTCTCACATGGTCACGTGCATACAACCACTGACAAGGAAATCGAACTCACTACTTTCTCGTCAAGTGGGTGTTGTTTACAAAGTTTAGAAGACAAAAAGAGAATGTACAGAGATTTATTTGGGTTAGTGGATACGGAGGGTTCACCTAGAGGAGTTGGAAAACCCTCATAGTAAACCAATCGTACACATGGGCTCCAGTATCCTGAGGCAACAAATGGCGCATGAACCTATTGTTGGTCACCGGCTAACATGGGACTGCATCTCCTTACGATGCTCCACTGCCTTGTAGTAGATCAGACCTTCAGGTCGAAGGTTCGCGGAGTGGCCCCTTAAGAAAACCACCTGCTTCGGTTTAGGGACCCGGGAAGTATCACAGCCCTCACACATATTGAATGAGATTTATGTGGCGCATATGTATTTGATGCCTCTTTGTACCAATATCTATGTGTTGAAATAAATAAATAAATAAATAATAAATCGGATACATAAATCAATCAATCAATGAAAATAAACCACTTGAGTTCTGAAAAATAAATAAAATTATCGATTCAATATTGATAGTGTAAATTATGATAATACATTTTAACAAATTGATTATAATAATGATAAAAATCCTATGAACTTTGAATGTTTTGAAACAAAATGAACCTATGTAAACATGAATAGAATGACCATTGGAATAGGTGAAGTACAAAATACAAATCAATTTTTAATAATTAGTTTAGTTGTATATGAAATATTTCTCTCTCTCTCTCTCTCTCAAAAAGAGAAGAAAACACGCAGTGAATTGATTCACTAGGAACAGGGTGGATCTCTTGAATGTATGAACTTTAAAAGCACACAGGATAACAATTGTAGTTTCATGACGATAGGACTATTCTCGGGTCTTTAAATAATTGTGATCTGATATCGTATGATAGGAAAGAGTGAAAAAGTATGATTACTCTTCCATATTTTCTTCAGAAACAGCAGTCAGGATTGGCTAAAGTACTGGAAGCTCTCAAGAATTCTGTTATGTCCCGATAAGCATAATGAATGGTAACTTTTCGGATGCATTTATGGACAAATACTATGCGTATATTTTTATAGTATAATTGTTATGTAACTAAACTATACATATTCGTGTCCCACTTATTATGAGCTTTATTTTGACATATGAACTATTATTATACGATTTACCATTCTTGAATTATGCCCTGTCTGTTAATTACTATCTCCCTCATTCACAGCCACATTTCGCTAAATCTTGTACAAATGTTAATTTCCATTTTGCGGTACGATGTGGTCTGTCTGGTTGGCATATAAATCGAGTATGCTTGAAATACATGGTTCATATTGCAGAGGCTGAGATTAGTGTTCTGGACTTAACTGGCTGGGATAGGCGGGAGGCATGACCAATAAAGACTCTACACTGCTTGTACCGGTTTATGCGTCATTGGACCGATCGATAATTCACTGCTCTCTAATTAACGGTATCATTACATTATCCATTAACATGGCACACAGGTCACAAGTTATAACAAATTCAGAGGGAAGGTTCTCAAAAGGTGGAGAAAGGGTGAAAATATTTCGTCCAACCAGTATTCAATAGAAACTTCCCATAGAGATATAAAGAAACAATGGACTGTCATTTTCGTATTAAATAATTACCGACTTTAAAAAATAATTTTAGCAAGTTTCCAACATCTAGAATATTAACATTACATATAAACCTACAAATATCGATGTTCTCAGTACATAAACTAACCATGAAAGAAAATTATTCTTTAAACTTCTCACCTTTTGTTCGTTCCTTAATTGTAGGAAATTTGTAGGGAATACATTACAAAGTCAGGGTTACGCGTTCAGCTACAAATCATATCAAACCACTTCCCTATAAGCCATACGTGAAGAAAATACATCATGCCGAGTGATTCAAACCTCAGTCAGTCAGCTACAACATAGGACCAGGCACATACATGCATCGGTCCAAGTTGCCATACCGCATTAGCACAGCAAGATGAACACCGGATTCATAGGAGTGGTTAAGTCAATGGTGGTAATATATAAAAGAAAGATTGCATATAAGGATATAGTACAGGAAGAAATAATTAGTTCGTAGAAAGAAAGATATGAAGCGATTTTAATCTCATAGTTTAGAGGAAGACAGAGACTGTATACACCGACAATATTGTGATCGATTCTGAGCCATGTCACCCAAAGTCTCCAACCATTGGTTACGATAGTCATACGGACCCCCAACCAAGTAGTACGCATCTACCAACATGGTTCAGAATAGAAGTTAGTGACTTAAACCACTGATGCCACGTTTTGGTTTGGCCACCCCTAACTTTCTTCCAACCATCTCCAACCAGTTAGCATTGCACGTCGTGGTGATCGGTGTTCAGGCATACGTAGCACGTGGCTCAACTATCTCAGTCGATGAAGATTCACAACCTCATCAACTGATGTGCCATCACTCCCCAATACCCTGCGTCTAACCCCACTACTATTTACCCGGTGATCCCAGAAGATGCCAGAAATATTTCTAAGGCGTCTGTGGTCAAATACTAGTAGCTTACGAGTATCTTCTACTCTTAATGGCCATGTTTCGCTGCCGTAAAGTAAAACAAAACGAACTGTCGCGCAGTATACTCGTCCTTTTATTGATAGACGGATATCTCGCCTTCGCCATAGGTGACGTAAGTCGGCAAAAGCCAAACGAGCTTTTCGAATCCGTGCTGAGATTTCGTCAGACACTAACCCATTAGGGCTGATCAGACTTCCAAGATAAGTGAAGTTGTCAACGCGTTCGACTACTTCACTCCCTATCCTTAGTTCAGGTGTTGACGCAGACCAGTCCTGAAGCAACAATTTGCATTTAGAGGGAGAGAAGCGTATTCCAAACATTCTGGGACTGTTGCTTAGTTCTACCAAAAGACTCTGCATTTTATCAGCATCTTCACCAAACAGGACTGTCATCTACGTATTCTAAGTCGATAAGTGGACCTCCTGGAAGGAGATCAATGCCCGAAAATTCCGTCTACGAGAGCGTTATTTGCATCAGTAGGTCCATGATGAAGTTAAACAAAAATGGAGAAAGTGGACAGCCTTGACGGTTACCACTTGAGGTTGCAAAAGTAGATGACAGTTCGCCATAAGCTCTGACCCGACTGGTAGTGTTCGAGTAGAGAGCCTTCACAAGGTTTATGTACTTCTGAGGTACGCATGGGATTAATTGATTATCATATGAATCCTTTGATAACTAAGCCACCATTCTACAATTGAAAGTGTTAACCGACATTTTAGGTAATTCATAATAATAATAGTAAGAAAGCATAAACTCACTTTTGTATCAACTAAATATCCAGCAAATATGGAAATTAATCCAAGTCCTAAATTTTGAATTGACGAAATTAAACCATAAGCTGTGGCTCTTTGATGCAATGGCAATACAAAAGCAACTATTGGCCATAAACTACTAGCCAGAACAGAATAAGACAAACCCATCACAATCATGATAGCTAGTGGGGGAATTTGACCACTAGTAAAAGCAAAGCATAAATGACAGCCTAATGTAATTAATATTCCACTGAATAACCAATATAAATTATATCCGATAATATCAATTGCTGCTCCAAATACAGGACTTGCCACAGCGGATATAATGTAGATAAGACTGTTAACAACACTAGCATCTTGAACAGATAAACCAAATTTCCCTATATGTTTGTAAACATAAAAACATAAGGATTTAGAGACAGAGAGAGAAAAAAGAAATCAGAGAAGAGGTTAGTTACAGAGTTGTGATTTTTAATGAAGAAAAACAATCAGTATTAAAGTAGTTATTTCATGTTATGAATAAAATTTCTGATGTAACTGAATAACAAAATGAATAAGTATTAATTTCGCCTAATTTAATTGCGTTGAAAATAAGGCTGTCTCATAAACAATACACAAAGGATAGTAATTGCTCCTACACACTCTACCAGTCAGTCAATAATGCATGGCCCCCGAATGCCCTGGTACGGCTGAGAGTGAGGAGAGTCAGCACTCCCTTCTCGTAACGTGAGTGTTGTTTACAAAATTGAGAAGACAAAAAGAGAATGTACAGAGATTTATTCGGGTTGGTGGATACGGAGAATTCACATAGAGGAGTTGGAAAACCCTCATTCTAAAATAATCGTGCACATGAGCTCCAGTATCCTGAGGGAACAAATGGTGTATGAACCTATTGCTGATCACCGGCTATCGTGGGACTGCATCTCGTGACTTTGTCCCATCGCCTTGTAGATTAGACCTTTAGGTCAAAGGCTTCGGGTGCGGCTCCCTAAGAAAACCACCTGTTTCAGTTTGGGCACCCGGGCAGTATCTCAGCCCTCACATAAATCGAGTGATTCATGTGTCGCATATCTATTTGGTGCATCCTTGTACCAATGTTTATGTGTTTAAATAATAAATAATAATAATGCATGAGTATTAAAGGGTCTGGTATAATTATGTATCTGTCTAAAATGGTACGACATATTAGCATAACAAAAGAGGAAATCATTAAGAAAAGTCGAATCATTGTAAATAAATAAATGTAACAGTAATCTCTATGATATGGAGAGAAAAAGAGAAACAATGAAGAGAACAGTTCTAAAGTTACACATCACTATACATAATTAAATACAGTAAGAGAACATGAGAAATTTAAGTACAAAGTATAAAATGATACAGTTAAATAGAATGAGAGCATTAATTTCATGCAGGTTTATTTGGAGTGATGTGCAACGAATCCGTCTATTTACTTATAGAATTAGAAGCAACAGTTAGAAAGTTCATGAATTTGTATAACTTCTTCATTTTAGGCATTTTTAGATTACTCCTAAGTCTCACATTGACGTTGATTGAAACACCAGCAGCTGACTTACTCCCATTGACTACTATACACTTAACATCACATCTGGTTGTTATTAGCAGGGAAAGAAAAGCAAACTACAAGTAATCAGTTGGTACAAACATTAATTAGATGAATGACAATTCAGTAAGTCATAACCAACATAGAGCATGGCACAAATATGTATCATCCAAGTTTCCGATGACAATGAGAAACGTTAAACAAAACGAATACTGTTCGAAAAGACGTGAATATGAAGAATAAAAAGTATGAAATAATACTGGAGCATACGACTTAAAAGAAAATGTAATAAATTCATCTGTGCTATTGTGACCAATTCTGACCATATCACACAACATTTCAAACCATTGACAGTGGTTATTTAATGAGGATCTGCTTAACATAGTCCATCTGAATAAATACCCACAAATTGAATCATATGAGACTTTCATATCAACTGTTTACAAATTACAATTAAGATTCATTAGGATTTTAAAACCAAGCATAATAAGAATCTAGTTTATGCCTAGAGAAATCCATAAATACAAGAAATGTTAGTCGTAATATGCAATGAACAGGTTATTTCAATAAATTTATACATTATACCATTCATTCTATGAACATAGTGGTGGAAACGAGGCGATAGATTATTTTATCAACTTATATTTGAAAGATACATATCACTAACCATGAAACGTAGGATCTACGATATTAAAATGTCAGAAACTAAAGTGATATACTACCGGATAATAATAGAAGTACATAAATGATGAGTAAGTTTTGATTTTAATGAATAAAAAGATGAGAATCAATGGTATCAATTTAAAAATAACTTACTTTCAAAAAATACTAGTCCTAAACTAACAAATGGAAATACTGTTACATAATATGTCACACAAATGATACAAATAAGCCAAATAGCGCCTGGAAAATGAATAACATCCATAGGAGAGATCTTTTTGTTTTGATCTTCTTCTTTCGTCGTGAGTAATTGTTCTTCTTCATGATTAGATATTTCAAGTGTATTGGATTCAATAGGTTGGGTATTCAGTGAATGCGGTTTTCCACAAGATGACAGAATGCGTTTAGCTCTAAAAAGTTTTTGAAAAAACAAACAAACGATGTGTGAACTGATAAACTGTATGTCCTAACAGTAGTATAAAACTTTTTAAATTCAATGTAAAAGATAATGCGTTTTAAGAACGTCATGCAGTCATATGCAACTTAAAACCTGATGAACGTATGTGCAACGGTTTAAGTTATCATGTCACATTAGTATTATTGCAAGATAAAACCCAAAATAGTAACAGAAGTACAAATAGCATCAGTTCTAGGAAAGATAAGTTATAAAAAAAGTAAAAGGTATAAGTGGGTTTCCAGATTCAAATTCAAAGGAAGTTTACGAGTGAATGCACCTGAACCATTGTAAGAGATTTTGAGCCATGTTAACCAGTCTCTAAACGTTGATTACGATGATCACAAGGACCCAAACCAGCTAGTCTACACCTACTAACATTAGTTGAATCCGGTTGTCAGTCAGTTCATGAACTGGTGTTACGTCCTGGTTCGGCTGTCTTTAGCTTTCTTCCAACCTACTCCTATACCAGACATCGCCCGTCGAAGTAGGTGGTGGTTGAAGGCATGTAACAAATGTGCCAGCCAACTCGATTGATGATGATTTACTACCTATTCAATTGATTTGTCATCTTTACGTAGTACCCTATGCCTAACCTCGGCGCTGCTCAAATTCAGGACAATAGTTACTCTTTTTTAGTGAAATAATGGTTGAAGGAAGAGAGTAGCATAAAAACACCTCGGGGTGGTTATGACCAAAGTCTGTAGAACTTCAACTGATTATAATTTTACATCACTTACCTACTTAATTCAGAGAAACAGTGAAGACTAGAAAAGCAGTGGACAGTTTCTTCGTCCTTGTATGAGGCTCGCTATAAGCTGCACCCACGACCCCACCAAGGATCGAAACCAAAACCTCTAGAGACTTCGATAAGTGCTTAAACACTAGATCAGAGATTTGCCACCGAATAGTCTACAAGTATAGCTTCAGTCTATTTGCAATATTGCTAGACAATCATTCATTATCATTGGTGACACATGATATGGTGGAAACTCCACTGGTCACAACTCTTTACTAGAACTCTGGGATTACCCCTCAAACTTAGCCACTAGCAAGGATATGATGACTTATTAGTTAAAGCTACATCTTAAATTCCATGTCTAGCGAGCGGAGGGTCCTTGTAATGGTAAAGGCTTGTGACTAGAAAGCTTGAAAAACGAACCTCAACATACAATGGATTAGCTTTACAGCTGATGAAAAAGTCTTTATATTAACATTTTATTGATCTCTTTTGACAAAAAAATCCAATAAACCAAGGAAATGTAGATAATTTTACGAATAGCTGGTAAAGTAGTTATTTGTTTATTTATTTAAGAACTAACATATACCACTATTTTTGTCATAAAATTACCCCGTTTCCGTTTGAAATGAGAAAACTAAAAGGTAGACTTGTGACAAAAACACTTTTTAACTATTCACAAGTTTATTTCTGATAGTAAACTCAATACTTGTAAATCCATCAGTCAGTCATGCATTGGAAGACTCGATAATTAGATGGACAAAACTAGATAGCTACGTTATTACGTCTTTTCTCAACCGAAGTTAATATTCATCATATCATGATTAATTACATGGGACAGGATGTATGTATAGTGATTTACACTCCTGATCAAAATATTATTATCAACTGTAAGATTTTATATCATGAATATAACTCGTTAAATAGGTACGAATTTATGCACTTGTCTTTTAAGCCTACTGTTTATCCTAGGTTTCAAATTGAAATAAGTGAAACAGAGTTCAAACCTGCGATCTGCTGGTTGAATGTTGATTATTTCAACCACCAAGCCACTACCCAACTTCATGTTAAATAATACCTTCAAATAACATATTTGTAACATAAAACACAGACAAATAAAATAAGAGTTCATGAATTTCTAAACGAAAATTAGTACTCTAATTACAAATTATAGCGTAAATACGTTACATAACATACCTCTTTGTAAAAAACAACATAATTACAGCACAGATAGTAGAAAATAAACAGGTAACAGAAGCAATCAATAAAGATGCACCCAATTGTTTATTAGTGTGTATATTGAAGTGTTTGCCAACAGCTCGATTCAGTGGTTGCATTGTTACCATGTTCACTGTCGATCCAATACGTGACATGCTAAGTTGAAGTCCAAATACTAGATTTAACTCATTCGGTGGAAACCATTCAGTTGAATAAGTATTCTGTGCTACAGCGAGTGATTCACCACCGATTCCAAATATCAATCGGGAAAAATACATTGCAGGAATATTTTTAAAATAAGCTCCTATACCGAATATTATTTGCCCAATAAGTACAAACATTGAAAAAATAATGCTTCCCCATGGGATACCAAATACTCTATCGATAAGAAAACCACCTACAAAACTTAGAATTACATTTGGCCATGAGTAAAATGCGTACAAGTTCATAAATTCAACCTTTGTCATGTCTAAAGAGTTTATGAAGACATCTTGAAGTGCTGAAGGATTATCATAGCAAAAATAGCTTCCAAAAGAAAGGAAACAAATGAAGAACAATACAATATAGCGATGAGGACGTCTTCTTGGATCACATGCCCAACTAGCTCCACAGCCTTATGGAACAAATAAAATGGAAATATTATTTACCTGTGAGATTTATATTTCTATTTATGACTTCTTCGTCCTCCATTGATAAAATTTCAATGACCGAAGATGGGATAGAAGCAACTGGTGAAAGTTAGTATTTATGCAGCAGATCAGTCTAAAGAATACCAAGTTATCAATCATAAGCCACTTAAGGATCATATAGCTTATAAATGACAGAAAATAACCTACCGAAAGACTGACCTAAATATATTCACAAACATAATAAAGCCCCCAAATGCCCTGGTACGGCCGAGAGTGGGAAGAGTCCGCTCTCCCTCTCGAAATGCTCTCATATGGCCACGCGTATATAACCTCTGCTAGGGAAGTCCTACTCACTGCCTTCTCGTGGCGGGGGTGTTGTTTACGAAAATGAGAGGACGAAAAGCGAATGTCCGGCGCTTTAACCGGATCACAAACCAATGGTGCACATGGGCTCCAGTATCCTGAGGGAACAAATGGCGTATGAACCAATTGTTGGTCACCGGCTTCCATGGGACTGCATCTCCTAACGTTGTTCTACTACTTCTATATCAAAGGCTCCGGGTGTAGCCTCCTAAGTAAACCACCTGTTTCGGTTCGGGCGCCCGGAAAGTATCCCAGCCCTCACACGAACCGAATGATTTGTGGCTCACATGTATTTGGTGCCTCCTTGTGCCAAAGTTCACGTGTTTGAATCAATAAAATAAAGCTGTGTAAAAGACGTGTCCCGAATTGAATTGTCTGAGGAGTCGGAGAGATTATCACAAACAACGTGATATTTAAATTCATTAGTCCAGTTTTACAGGTTTTGATAGTTCAGTGAAATGAATTTGGTTCGAAAAATGTGATGGAACTGACCCATACATTTTGAACAATCTGACCACACATATACTTGTCAAGATTTTTACGGGTGTCTGATTTCCTCTCGAATGGGTCGACTGGAGTTCCAGACAACAATCAATTTGGCAGTAAGTCTCAAGAGTTGACTGCTCTGTGAGAAAACCTGTATCCTCCTGCTCTTGGCTTTCATACTTCTGATATGTCCTGATTAGAAAGTGTGATTTGTAAACAAGGTGAACAGGCGTGTACTCGTATTCCATTGAATGGTTTCTTTTTGTGTCTAGGCGTTTGACTAAAATACACGAACCATGCTAAGACGATTTAAGAGAAAGTCAAAGATTAAGAGTGGTAAAATTAGTGTCGTATAGGTGCATAATTCGACAACCCCAAAGTGAAAAAAACAAGTAGTTCTTGGTAGTGTCTTTAAAATTCTGTGCTTTTGTGGGTTAAAATAACATCCCGGAGTTGAAAATATGTGGGTTCTGTGTGTAGGCATCAAGATATTTCGTAGAACACAAGATCAACGCATGAACTACTGCAATAGGTCTCCTAAATCGCTTAGACGCTGGGGAATGTCGAACAAAAACCTATCACTGAACAAAACCCATATAAACTAATAACTTGTGAGTTAACCACCTGGAAAGTCAGTCTACACATGATTGTTCACAAAAATAATATCTTGATTATGAACTGTTTAAATCCTAAGGTATACTTATCTACTAGTAGTGATAAACTGAGAGCTCTCAGTTTCTTATCACAATATTATCAATTATATGGTATAGTGAATCATTGTCCCTGAGTAAATGCTTTAATGAAAGATATATTATCACATATTGTATGAACAACGGGATGCTTTTCAGACTTTTTAAAGAACATAAACCTAACCACATCTAAATTTCCTTGCTCAAGGTCGTCCACTTTCATTACTTTGATCGAAGTGCCGAGGACCCAACAAGTGAACAAAATTCAGATTCGGATTTCAGATTTGCGTAGTAAGGACAGAAGGCCTGCGGCCTATGTTATTCCTTTACTAGTATGCTTTCGTGAGTGTCCAGTCTTCTCTTGAAAGAGCCAAAAGTGATGTACCCTAAGGCACAATCTTAGGCCCTCTGCTCTTCCTTTTCTGCGTTAATGAGTTACCGCTGTTACTTAGGTCGTCGACATCACTGTTTGCGGATGACGTTAAGATCTGGAGAACAACAGAAAATGAGGTCGATCATCTGGATCTTCAAGCTGACTTAGACGATTTAGTTAGATGAGCTCGAGAGTGGGGCTTAGAAATCAATGCTAGGAAGAGTGTACTAATGCACATCGGTCACGGTAATAGTTACCGTTACACTATTGAGGGTAGACCTCTTCCATGCGTTCAAGAGCATAAAGACTTAGGAGTAGTATTAAGTCATGATTTAAAAACAACTACGCATTGCAAAGCAGCCGCTGTCAAGGTTTTTCGAGCGTTATGGTCACTTCGCCGAGCGTTCAAATCTTTTGACGAGGAAACGTTTCGAATTTTATATCCCACCTATGTAAGACCACACTTAGAGTACTGTATCCAAGCAGCTAGCCCATGTCTGGTAAGGGATACCAATTCCCTTGGGCGTGTCCAGCGTGTGGGAACGAAATTAGTGAAGGGTCTTTCTAGACTCCCTTACGATGAGCGTTCAAAACACCCAAACCTTTTCCCCTTGTCATATCGTAGGACACGAAGTGACCTTATACTGACATTTCGTATCTTCAATTATGATTTGGGTGTTAATATGTCTTATCTTTTTGCTCCCTCCAGCACTAATAATCTCCGCGGTCAGAGCAAGAAGGTTCATAAACCACGATCTCATAAACTCAAAGTGGGGTTCCGTTTTTCTCATCGAGTAGTCAATCATTGGAACGCCTTACCCGAACAAGTGGTATCAGCCCCATCAGTGAATACTTTCAAGGAGAAGCTGGACGTTCACTGGAAAGCAGTGCGTCAGGATTAACACAGGTTCATCAACCTACTATCCTTATGCTGAAGACTGAAATATTGCCATTTTCAATCTGGATTTTGGGTCCGTCTAGTAAATAGTGAACTGAAACTCACCTCTATTAAGACCGTGCACAACCATCCTTACACAGAAGGATATATATTTCTGTCGATCCATCGAGTCGACAGTTGATGCCAAATGAACGCTTCCATTTAAGAATGTTTTTATTGAGTAATACGCGAACTTGTAGCTTACGGTATCTGGTTTCTTGAAAGTTCCACAAACAGCTTACCAAGGACGATATCACCAGAATGCGTTCACAGTTGTACCCACGTTGTTGAACTCACATTGTAGTTAATTGAGTTTAGACACTAAAAATATCAATGACATTTTATAGCGCGTTCAATCAAATACTGAAGTTAAAGTATTCAATGAACATGGGGACATATCCATGATTTGCTTCAGTCGCGGGGAGCAAATAGCTGTTTACCACGCATTCCCAGGGGTAATATGTATTGATTCGACTTATCAGACCAACAAAGTTGGGTAAGTAACAGCAAGTAAACACATCCGTTCATGCCTCGAAGCATTGGAAAACATATGCGCACAAGTGATGAGTTCAATCGTTGCTACTGATGAAGCTACATCGTCAGAATCCATTGTTAACACTGACCATAGTTATGCTTCTTGGTAACAAGAACTTCTAATATTGTAATCTTTTTAGTTATACATAAATTCATTCATGTGGCCATTAACTTATTCTTATAGCGTAACGGCAGGTAGTGTACTGTGCAGTCTTATGTGGCTGCAAGACAGGGATGTTGTTTCGCGTTCTTGTGTAATAATTACCAGTTTGGCACACACGCGATTAGTCATACAGACCGTTTGCCAAATACTGCAACCTTGAACACGATGTACTATACTGCTAGTTCGAATTTCGACCTGTCACTATAGATAAGGATTGCCGTAATTAAAAGAGTGATGCGTTATAAATGAAAACGTTTATTAAATTTTAAATCCAGCACAAATGATCCATTAATAAATAACTTCTAATTCTTAAGAATTGTCCCCGTTAGGTCTGTGAACACTTATGAAGCCAGCTGGAAATAAGATAGACAGGAAACAGTTATTGCAGTATAAATTTTTACCAGGAATTAGTATAAAAACAGAAACCGGTATCCAATTACAGATCAAAAGTGCATTCAGCGCCCCCTTTCTTTAGACAGTCAATCACGTTAATTTGCTTTATGTTTTACGTTGTTTATGAAAGCCTGGGTCGCAACATACATGACTTGTATTATTTAATTCTTTGGACAGGTTGCACTTCGGAAACTTAGACAACGAACATATACAAAGACTACTATGTGAACTTATTTTGAATCATCCTGTGTAATCTGCAATTATTGACGCCTATTTTATTTCAGTCCCACGTAAGGTATAAGTAATTGTCATTTACGGCATCAGCACGTAAGCTAGACAGGCCTTGGTTGATTTTCGATGATCATCACATACGATGTCAGGTAATCTGGTCACCTGAGATCAAGATATCTTGATTACCGAATTGTGCTTTTCAATGCTTTCTTGTAACCGCTTTATAATAGTACTTATTTATGCTATTAGGTATCTTTGCAGGAATACTGGCAGCCTAAACATTGGAACTACGTTAGCTTAGTCTCTGGTAAAATCTTCACATAATTATACCTCTTCCGCATGATTATGATTTGTTTCCTGCACTATAATGATTTGGTGGCTTATATATCTAACTGTAGAAGGTAATATTAACATCTTGGTATGTGTTATAATCATCTATAGCATATACATAATATTTACAACCCTCAGGACAGCTAATATTATCACCATTAACCTATTTCTGCCATAAAAGTCGAACAAAACAGTGAAAATCAGCAAACATTGTAATAAAGAAGGGAAAAACGATAAATCTAATCATGGTATCGTTACTTGTAACGCAGTTTTGGTAGCCTTGACGACAATACAATTTTTATAACGATATATGCTTGGATCATGATATTTCGTATAAAAAAAGATTTCTCTACCCTTAGCGTACAGTTGAGTAGAAATATTTGCTAGACGGCAATGCAATTACGAAAAAACTGTTGTAGCAGCACCTGAATAGTGAATTTTTAAGGACATCCCGATATCATGTACCGCAAAACAGACAAAAACCTCTTTTCACCTAATTGTGAAGACGGAAAATAAAATTTCAAATTTATTTACAATTAATTTCGAATTTTGGCTGTTCAAAAGGCAGAAATGAAAAAGTAACGCAAAAAATGTCGCTACACCCCCGGAGCGTTGCCCCAAGTTGCGAGCTGAACTACAATGTAGCGGACATATTTGGAGCCGTTACTATTGTTTCCAATATCCATTATCTTTTTGACGAGTTTGTCTAGAGGGATTGATTTCTTTGTCTGGCTTCTTGATGTTTTACTACAAATCGGTGTCATTGATGACCTGGCCACTCGAATGGACTAATTCTAACCACTTTGGTAGTTAATTGTGGATTTGTATATCTCTTAGTTTGAGTGCGTTTATCCCAAGACATTAAGGTTTCTGGATACCAGTATCCATCATATTACCAGGAAATAAGTTGTTTTGTTGCAACATAAAACAAATAATTAAAAATCGGAATATAAGAGGAGACGATTGTCTCAGGAATAAATAAATAAATTACTGAATTGACAATATATCAGACGACGAAATTGAAAGAATAAGAGTGAAACGGTGGTGATGATAATAAAAGAGATAGTAAGTTGTCACTACTATGCGGTAATTATAACTGTGTTGATATATGAGACACTCATCAAACACAGCTGGTCCTAGAGGTATATGATGATTCATGGGTAAGTACATTATTGTCAAGTCTCCTTTTAAAGCTATCCACTGAAGGAACTGTGGTCACGTTATCTGGGAGAGAATAATCTTTCAACCCTATCGTCCACTTAGTTTTATGTCTCGGACCTTTATCCAAGAGATATATACCTCTTTTAAAGAGAGGAGGACAACGACATTGCCGATTTCAAGATGGGGCCGCGCGCAGTAACATAATGTAGTAGTAATAAACTATGTACTTAGGCACACACCACAGAGTAACTTTTCATACTGATTGGTAAAAGAAACAAAATATATGTGCAGAGTTTAGATTTATATGTTTAAGTATAAATGAGATGGTTGGTGAATAAAGTGTAATTGATTCTTTCTACCGTTCCTACCGATGGTGAGGTATTTTTTGATCGTTTTATGATCTATCAGGGTTATTTGTATGATGTGTTAATAGCTTATTTACAGCATCGATGGATGTGTAGATGAATCTGAATGTGTTTAAATGTCTGTTAATCTGTTCATGATGTGAATTAGCTCTGGGATGTATTGGTTTGGGTTGCTGTTTAAGCTGCAATAATCTGCTTACAAAGCTATCTGCATCCATCCGCATTTGGTAGAATTAGAGTTGTTCCTTAAACTAATTTAACTGGTGTACAACCGACACCCTCTTTGATAATTAATTGGATTCATAGAAAAATAAGAGGTAAGGTGTTACTCCACTTCATTGATTTGAGTGGGACCTTCCTCTGAAAGTGAGATTTTTCACTGGTCTTTTAGCTGTGGGATGGTAGGCTGTCGTTTTGGTGTGATGTTCTCCTAATGGTTAGGTGGATTTATTGAGCAAAACTGAGGGCTACGATTTTTGGTAATGATCAGGGGGATACAGTAGTTTGCGATTCAAATGTCGAGGAACATTGAAGCAACTGACTCTGAAGGTGCATCCCTTGTATCATATTATGGGTGAAGATTCTATTTACAGAAGTAAATACGCGTGTAAAAGAGTTGGAAGGTGACAGAGGCTTGATGATTACTATACATACGCGTTGAAAACGTTTATCAAGTGCTGGAAGTTTACCCAATGCGCCAAGGGTATATTGCTGAACTTTCTTGCATTGGAACTCCGTCGAA